CTCGTGAACTGTGTAAACAGCCCAGGGCGGTGGAAAAAGTTCATGCCCGGGTCCATGTAAGGAGAAACCAGCGGAGCCCTGCAGGCCGCCGCGCGGACATTTAATGAGTCCGGCCTGAGGAGGATTACAGCGGGACCCGGACTGGAAGGTCGCCTCACCATGATCAGGACCAGTTTCAGGCGCCGGGTCTCTGAACAGGAGGGCGATAGGAGCCTGGAGGCCTGCGGAGTCAGGCTGATCAGAATACTGTTTTATCTTCTGAATTATAAACCCCTCCAAGCCTCAAACTCCCTCATTTCACCCAATACCTTCAACATAAAATCACATTGGAAATCTTGAAGCTGTGATATGAATAAAAAAAAGGATAGTTTTTTTCTGAAGAAAATAATAAAAAGTCTGCTAATAATTTCGCATAATAGTCCAGCCTGGTTTATTTAGTCCCTCGTGGGGCCTCCGACAAAATCAAACATTTTGATAAAAGCGCACATGGCTTTAATTGGTTCTTATGGCTGCTTCTCTTGAATAAATTCTCGCATCAACAACCTAAAAACTTTCCATTCAAACTGTTTTAATGCTTGTCCTAAATTTAGCATTAAATTTAACTGCCTTCCGCTTTCATGTTTAATTCACAGGTGTTTATTTTCACCATTTGTTTCACTTGCATATCTGAAGCGCTGCATTCAATGTTTATAACTTTTTTTTAAATCAAAGCACTTTTTATTCCTAAAAAATATAAAATCCATTTATTGAGTATAATGTATCCTATTATTTGATTTTTTTTTAAATGATCTTTGAATATGTAAAGTATTAAACAGACTTTTAGGACTGTTTCCCCCTTTCAAACTATAGAGATGCACTTTGCAGGAATGTGCTTCCATGATCGGACGGCGCGCATGTCGCGTCTGAAGGTTTTGCCAAGCCAGGACAGGCAGTTTGACCGACAACCTCCTGAAGCTTTTCTTTAAAAAAACCCACGAGTGTGGGCCAGCAGCTCCCTGCTCGCGCCGCTCTTCCTGGCTTCCCATTGGACGAGCCGCACACTCTTGTGAGGGGGGAGGCGGGGCTTCCCTGTTAGAGAGAGGAGGGGGGAGATGGAGGGGGAACAAGGAGGAAAGAATTTAACTGCGCAAAAAGTCCTGTGTGGTGACGGATGTCCAAAGTTCAGAACTTTTTCAATGCGCGTCTCATGCGGACTGAAGGATGGGGACGGCTTAAACTGCGCTTTTCTCTGTTTCAATTTTCATCTTTGCTCAAAGGAACTGTGTTTTTGATCTTATTTTACGCACAGCAGCGCTCAGAGGAGGGAGAAGCGGAACTTCATTTTTTTCCGAGGGGGGGATATTTTGGAGTTTTATCCTCGACATGCAGGCTCGCTACTCCGTCTCCAGTCCCAACTCTCTGGGCGTCGTACCCTACATCAGCAGCGACCCGAGCTACTACCGGGCAGCAGCCGGAGGGGGCTACACGGGGATGCCAACACCTATGAACATGTACTCTCACGCGGCGCATGACCAGTACCCGGCCAGCATGGCCCGGGCGTACGGACCGTACACCCCCCAGCCTCAGCCTAAGGACATGGTGAAACCCCCCTACAGCTACATCGCTCTCATCACCATGGCCATCCAGAATTCACCGGACAAGAAAGTGACCCTGAACGGGATTTACCAGTTTATCATGGAAAGGTTTCCGTTTTACCGAGACAACAAGCAGGGCTGGCAGAACAGCATCAGGCACAACCTGTCGCTCAATGAGTGTTTCGTCAAGGTGCCCCGCGACGACAAAAAGCCCGGCAAAGGCAGCTACTGGACCCTRGACCCGGACTCGTACAACATGTTTGAGAACGGGAGCTTCCTGAGGCGGAGGCGGCGGTTCAAGAAGAAGGACGCGCTGAAGGAGAAGGAGGAGCGGCTGCAGAAGGACCTGCCGCCCCGGCAGCAGGGCCGCGGTGAGTCGGAGCAGACCGTGCAGGGCTCCCAGCCCGTCCGGATCCAGGATATTAAAACCGAGAACGGCGCCGTGACTCCGCCGCAGGCCGACTCGCCCTCCCTGAGCACCGTGCCCAAAATCGAGAGCCCGGACAGCAGCAGCAGCATGTCCAGCGGCAGCCCCCACAGCATCCCCTCCGGCAGGTCGATCCCCGGCATGGACAGCTCCGAGCACCACCAGCACCACGGCCAGGCTTCCACGCAGGGCTTCAGCGTGGACAACATCATGACCTCCCTCCGGGGTTCCCCACAGGGGGTCACCGAGCTCACCCCGGGTCTAAGCGCCTCCACCAGGACGGGTATAACGCCATCTTTGTCCCTAAACTACTCCCCCAGTCAGACATCAGCGTATAGCTCACCCTGTAACCAAAACTCCATCTCTACTACCTCCAACGCGACCTATCACTGCAACATGCAAGCCATGAGCCTTTACACTGGGGACAGGTCAGGCCACTTGGCACCGAGCACCGTGGACGAAACGCTGCCAGACTACTCCGTCACAACGACCTCGTCTTCCCTGAGCCACAACCTAAACTCCGGCCAGGAGGGCCATCACAGCCACCAGGGCAGGCTGGCCTCGTGGTACCTGAACCAGGCCGGAGACCTGGGCCACCTGGGCGCGTCCTACCCGGCTCAGCAGCAGAACTTCCACTCGGTCCGAGAGATGTTTGAGTCCCAACGGATCGGCTTGAATAACTCCCCGGTGAACGGGAATAACAGCTGTCAGATGTCCTTCCCTCCGAGCCAGTCCATCTACCGCACGTCGGGAGCTTTCGTGTATGACTGCAGCAAGTTCTGACCAAAGAAAAAAGGACAGGGAAAAAAATGGAGCAAACAAAAGACAAAAAATAAATAAATAAATAAATAAAAGCTCAGTATTTTACCCCGCTGAACTCTGACATTAAAACCCATCATTATACCTCCCCTACCTGCCCTGGACACATATAAAACTAAAACAATAAAAACAGAAAAGACTTGATCTTCTTTTTTCTTTTTTTTAAAGAACAGTGTTACTGCAGATAACACGTAAGTCTCTTTCTCTCCCTTTCTTTTGTTTCTGCTTTTGTGCCTTTWTATGCTAAAGATGATGTGTCACTTTTCCTAGACGTGTAAATTGCATTTAATAATTTATTTCTAACCTTTCGCCGGGTTTATATATGGACCAAACACCTCCCCCCCCCCAAACAAGAACAAGATAAAAAAAAAGGTGTTTCTAATTTGAATTCCCTTGATTGTCCAAAATGCTTTTTATCAAAGCAAGAAAAAAAGAAACGTGTAAATCGACGTATTATTTTAAAAATTGTTCTCATGATGTTGAAACAATATTCTGAAGGATTTGTGTGTATGTTTAATAAATTGCCATTTTATGTGAGTTAGTTACGCCTCGTTTCTTACAGACTTGGGCTCAGGATTTAAAGATAAATTGCATCTTTGTGCTGCGTAGGTGTTGAAACGAAAAAGAAGAGACAAAAATACATATTTGGAGTAAAAAAATGGTTATTTTTCCAAAAAGCAACACTATATGCATATTTTTTATCTGATGAAAAAAAGAAATTATTTTCATTGGAGCTTTCCTAAAAATATTTGAGACATGTTTGTTTATTGTTATTTGTGTGCAAATTGTCAGTGAATTTTATTTTTCATAATTATGACATGTAATCAATTAAGCTGAGCCCATAGGCCGCAGAGAAGCTCACTGCAAACAGAGCAGCTTTGTTTTGGACCGGGCTGTGTGTTTACTGGCGCTCACCACTTCTTACCTAATATCATACCACACATGCCAAAGATATTCCCGTTGTCACTTCAGGTTTGATGTTTTAGGTTCTCACTGTTCTGACATGATGCTCAGTCTGAAGGAGGAACATATGACAGCTCCGTTTTTTTTCTTTGCATGTTAGTCAGATTCTCTTTGGGTTTCAGAACAATTTAAAAGAGCAGATGACGTCACACACACAGTGAAAATACCATTTTTCTGAAAAAGAAAATGCTTATGTGGTTGTCACAGTTCCTTCAGATGAGTGATTCACAATATGTTTTTTATTTCTAAATAAGTGTTTTTTTCAGCTATTGATAAAACACACCCGTTGTTTCATAAACGTAAAAAAGGGTTTTGATATTTATTTAGTGGCAGTTTCATTGAAAGTTTGACRCTTTTGATGAACAGATTTATTTACAGCCTTTTGCGTAAAGCTAAAAGTCAGTTTTTATTGCGCAGACGTGTGCGCAAATTACGCACAGGTTCCATATGCTAATAATNATGTTTAATATTATGTTGGTGAAATAAAATTAAATAAAGCACAGCATCAAATAAAAACAACAGCAAAACCTATCAGTATTATATTTATTTACTAATATATTTTAATTCAATCAGGTTCCTCACAAACGTTTTGGTGCTGAGTGACTGCTGGTACAGTACTGTAGTACTAAAACAAACCAGGAGGTGGGGACATTCTCTAACAAACACTTTGTTCACCCCCTTAGTGGGACTTCTAAAAATGTTTTAGAAAAAACAAAACACGAAAGATAAAAAACATGTAAAATGGWAAACGTTTTAAAGATTGTTTGTTTCTCTCCTTTGACAATCTGATGTTTAGAATAGGAAATGTAAATAAAACGGCGACTGTATTACTTTGAAAATTGTACTCAATAAATTTGCACTCAATAAGTTAGGATCTTTATTCGACCCGAGCAGCCAAACTCTTTATGTTGAAATTCAATAAAGTCAAGCAGGGAATATGAAACTCTGAAAAMAAAAARSYTT